CTGTCAACTTTATTTTTCCTGAACTCTTCAATTCTTCACCTCGGCGAAGTTTTCCCAAAACTGAGCCGACACCAAACTAACCAAACGTCCCACTTGTTATGTCCAGTACGAAGTGGAAGTAATCCACGATAACGGACTCAATCCACAACAAGTCGAGACCCAAATGAGAATGTGATCACTCTCCAAACATCGATGTCTACTCACCAAACCGGATTCATCATAAATGACTGCCTACATATTCTCTTGCCTAAGAAATCAAACATTCACGTAGTTCACCAAATGACCTCCAAAGGACCTCAATCAACAAGAAGAGTTTTTAACCCTTCTCCAACATCACCAATAAATCTATAACTGATAACTCTCCCAATGGTCCTAAAATGTAACGAACCAAATACCTCCACCTAAGGTGAACCAACAGCCATAGCCAAATCCGAACTGTGTCCACCAGCTGTACTCGAATCAATAAACTCATCATCTACATCCACATTAATATGATCCCCACTGTGTCACCTCAGCTGGAATTCCAAATGATGCAGAATGATCTGGAGAACGTGGAGTAATCTCCACCCAACGTGGAGTAGCATTACTCTCCACCCGTTGTGATATTCCAACGATCTGTCAAACACTCTCTACCTGCTAAGAATCAAATGTCTCTCTCATCGTAGCCTCATCAAAAGTGACATTCCCAGACTAAACTTCCAATTGAGTTTTACCTCCTATCACAGCAATTGGCAACCCTTTAATAAGATGACTTGAATATGTCAACGCCTCAGTCCACAAACTCTTCTGCAAACCATTGCTTGACCACAAATATCGATCCTTCTCTACCAAGACACGGTTCTCTAACTTTGTCACCCCATCTAGTTGCCCCAAGATTTCCTCTCCAATGAAGTTTCTCCAATTGCCATGAGCTCGGCATGAATACAGAAACAGATCCCTCTTGTACTTCTCACTAAAATCAGAAAGGAGTACCTTCATCCTTTTGTCTTTCTTATACTTCTTTAACATGTTGTAGACTACTAGGACTTCACTCAAACGAGACTTGATTGCAACCTAAACATGTCTAGAATAGTCATCAACAAAGAAAACTAAATATCTATTACCTCCTAATGATGCCTCCTTGGAAGACCCCAAAATGCCCACGTTAACTCCATCGTAAAGACCCTTAGCTCGGTGAATAGAGGTGCTAAATTTTACTTTGGTCTTCTTGCTCACATCAAAATGTTCACTGGACTTCAAACTGCAGGTCGATGCACCTTTCTCCAAATCAATACTGGAATGACCAAGCCTTAAATGCCGCAGTCTAGTCGAATCAATAGAAGTCGCCAGCTTTCCACCTGTCATCATATTTCTAATTAAATAGTACATGTTATTATTCCTGACACCCTTCATCACAATCAAAGAGTCTTCCACAATCTCGAGAACCGTGTCCTCAATACGAACTTTCAAACCCTTTCCAACTAAAGCTCCAATCGAGATCAAGTTATTTCTCAAAGAAGGAACATATCTTACTCCATATAACTCTCTAACCATCCCATCAAACATCTTGATGCAAATTTTACCTATCCGAGCATGCGCGGTTATCACCCATGTATACCACACCACTATCCAGCTTATCAAAATTGGAGAACCATTCCTTTTTAGGGCATACATGATAGGTTACACCACTATCCAACATCCACTCATATTTCTCTGAATAGTCAACTATGGGACTGATAAAAAGTGAATAAACAGATAAGTCAGAAAGATTAATAAACAGATAAGTCAGAAAGATTACCATCCGATATGACGATGTTTGCTTCTGATGATGGTTGCTTTCCATTTCCCTTCTGCTTGTTCTTCATCCATTCATTGAGCTTTGGATAATCTTTCTTCCAATGACTAGTCTCTTTACACCAAGCACACTGATCTTTGTCAACTATAGGATGTCCTACTCTAGACTGTGACTTCCTAATCTTTCGGTTTGGATTCTTCCCTCTTGCGATCAATGCATCTGCTATTGTGTCACTTGTAGACTCCTTATCTTTATACCTTAGTTGGTAATTCACAAGAGCAGTGGTTACCTTACTATACGAAAGAGACACTTTCCCATTAATTAGGACAAGAACAAATGTTTCATATTCCTCATCTGGTAAGGAACTCAACAATAATATTGCCTTGTCCTTATCCTCTATAATAACATCCACATTCGTCAAATCCGTAAGAAGTTTCGTGTAGTTGTTCATGTGATCACTAATTGAGATTTCCTTCTTCAACTGGAAACTGTAAAGTCTCCTCTTTAAATGCAAGTGATTCTCAACACTCTTAGTCAAATACTTATTTTCAAGAATCTCCCAAATTTTCTTTGCAGAAGTCTCATTCATCATATCACACTTTAGATCCTGCGTTAAACAAGACCTAATAACACCATACGCCATTCGATTCATCTTCTTCCAAACATTCTCTTCTATATCATTTGGCTTGTCATCTAATTCTAAAGTATCATCCAAATTTTAAGTGTTCTGCGCATCCAAAACCTCACATCTTCATAATCTAAAATTATTCGTGTCATTAAACTTCTCCATATCTATCTTCGTAGAGTGAATATTCAAACTCTGATGGTCTTCACGCCAGAAGTATCACCCTTAACATCTTCTTTCCCAGACATCTTCCACAAAACACCAACAATCAATGCAGAACAAACTGAAGAATAGTTCCAAACTGAGAAAAAATAAATTTTTTACCAAAACAATCCCACTTTTATCTCCAATTGAAACCCTAGACGAGCTTCTAAAGCGATCTACTCCTCCACCTAACCCAAGCGTAACCTGAAGCTCTGATACCACTTGTTGGGAGAACTGCGCGTGTTCTGAGGATTCATAAATTTGCTAAGAGAGAAGGTACACAAATCAACTAATAATAGCACACACTCAAAAACAGAAGTTTAACGTGGTTTGGCAAATTGCCTATGTCCATAGAGTAAGAAGGGGATGTGTTTTCACTATAAAGAAAGAGAGTACAAAATAGAGATTACAAGATCACTCAAAAGCTCACAAATAATCTCTCAAACTAAACTCTCAAATCTCTCACAAAACCCTCAAGAAAATTTCTCAAAAAGAACTATCTTTTCTGTGCTCAAAACTCTCCTTCAAGCTACCCCAAAACTCAATCAATACGATTGAAAACCCTAAACAAATCGTGTTTCTATTTATATTAAATAGAAATCCCAAACAGTGCAGGAAACCGAAGCAGGCCCACACCCGACTCGAGATCGACCGTGGCCAACGACAAAAACTAAAAATCCATTACAGGGTCTCGCGGTCGACCGTCGTACCACCCGACGCGGTCGACCGCTAAAAGTCCAAAGACTTTTTCCTGTGCTGTGCAAGTTTGCGGTTGACCGCCGCGCCACTCGCGGTCGACCGTGAAACTTCCAAATTCCAAATGCCTGTCATCTTCATTTTTCCTAAACTCTTCAGCAAGAAGATGCAAAAAACATGCTATATGTTGCTCTATGCACTGCCAAACATTCTCGTTTTTCTTCCGACGCGGTCGACCGCTAAAAGTCCAAAGACTTTTTCCTGTGCTGTGCAAGTTTGCGGTTGACCGCCGCGCCACTCGCGGTCGACCGTGAAACTTCCAAATTCCAAATGCCTGTCATCTTCATTTTTCCTAAACTCTTCAGCAAGAAGATGCAAAAAACATGCTATATGTTGCTCTATGCACTGCCAAACATTCTCGTTTTTCTTTTATCACACACTTGAGTCACGGCCACCTGTCTTTTCGCATCATTTTCCGATATATATTTATATCATTTCAATTTGTAAATGTCTGAATCATCATCATATGAGATGAGCATCAAGGTGCTTTCACGTGAAGATAATGGCCACTCCATTCCTGAGGAGATTTCTATTGGGGCTAGGATTTCTTGTGCATTTTATATATGCCATATATGGTAAAAGATAAATCTAAGTGATTCTTGGCTAGGAAACACTAGGTCCTCTTGCTTTTTAATCTTGTTGTGGTCACACCTAGACGTTTCTCTAAGTTATGCCATCTGTGTTGTTTACAAGATTGAGTGCTATATGACCACAATCTCTCTCTCCCCACCTTTTTTTTTGTGAGGAGACCACAAGCCCATGTTAATGCAATGTGATCCTAATAGTAGTTTTCTCATGAATATATGATTTATCAAAGGTTTCTAAAGCACTCGTACCCTTGGCTTGTTAATTTTTTGTCTCTTAAAACAAAGGTCATAAACTTTTAGGAAGGTTATTGTTGCGGTGATCTCATCACATATTGAAAATTTCTGCTCAAATGAGGAAAATTTTGATCAGAAATGTAGGTAATATTATGTTTCATGATGCAGAGGCAAAATGATAAACATTAAATAATTAATGCAAATTAACCAGTAAACCAATTTGTTAATTTGCGAATGTTGTTTGACTCATGAGAAACGTTAGTGATACTACATTTTCTCAGAAAATATTTAGCACTCGATGATCTTTTCCAGTATCAGTGTTTTCAGTTACCAAAACAGATTGTACAGCAAAACGGAATATTGCACATTATTGTAAGATATAGTCACTTCTGCTGAATGTAAGTTAGTAATTAGACTTGAGAGTTCAATCCAAGTGTTCATAAAAAAATTTCATGCCACTTAATAAGTTTTAAACTTAATGTATGTTAATCAAATCAAACTGAAGTACAATCTGAACTAGCCTTAAAGATTTTATGTGTGTCATAAGTTCATAACTAAAGTTCAATAATAATAATAATAAAGGAGCAAAAACTTTAGTCCTAGCACTCTTTACTAGTGGTAGTTTAGTCCCACAAGAGTGCCCTCCTAAAGACATGGAAGGCACTGAACCAATCAGAAGTACCTTTCATGAAAGAATCTCGTATCATATCAACACTGTTGCTATAACACTTAATAGTGCACCTGTCATGGAGAAGGGAAAAAAAGAAAGGTTCAAATGATGAAGCATCAATTGAAAATTCTCACATGACATCACCTGACCATGAACCTTTTGTGCCTATAAATTACGGAAACCTGCAACAAAGAGTCAATCAACCTGAAGATAGGAGTGCATCAAGAAATGGTGTCAGCAATGAAAGAGCAAGAAACAAGAAAGGGACCGTGGACAGAGCAGGAGGACCTGCAACTGGTATGCTTTGTGAGATTGTTCGGTGAACGTCGTTGGGATTTCATAGCAAAAGTCTCAGGTTTGAGGGGGGCGGGAACTAGATAGGTAGACAAGCTGAATTCAGCAATTACAGTGTGGAGAAAAGCTACAATCTAATACAATTTTCCTTTTACTCGATATGGTTTTTTTACAGGTCTCAATAGGACCGGAAAGAGTTGCAGACTGAGATGGGTCAATTATCTTCATCCTGGACTCAAGCGAGGTCGCATGACTCCTCAAGAAGAGCGATTAGTCCTTGAGCTACATTCCAAATGGGGGAATAGGTTAGTTCTATGTACTAAATTATTTCATATTTTTCTCTTATCTGCTTCTAACCAAGTTCTCCTAGGCCTCTGGTCCTTTCTCCATAATTATAATCTTATCATTTATCTAATTTTGTGCGTTTGATAGCCTCTGTGACATATGATTGAACCATCTGAAACAATTTTCTTAGGAGCAACCTCCAACAGTCCTCATTTATTGTAACATAATCATTTCTGCTACGCCTCAATCTTTTTGTACATGTAACTTTCTGATTCATAAAGTATTGTAGATCTTATAATTGTCCTATATAATATTCTATTAGTTTCAAACGTATTTTGCAATTACATCAGAGTCCAGAAACACACCGTTGTAATCATCCTGATATAATTCAATGAACCCTTTGGCGATATCAACACGATCAAAGGAAGGGGAAAAAAGAAGTAGTTTCTGATAAGTTTTTTGTATAGGTGGTCTCGAATTGCTCGTAGGCTTCCGGGGCGAACTGACAACGAGATCAAGAACTACTGGAGGACTCATATGAGAAAGATGGCACAAGAGGCAAAGAGGAATTCATCGCCACCCTCAGCTTCATCTTCATCCAACTCTCTCTCCTCAATGAGTGAATCTCCAGCAGAACCTGCAAATGCTGATAACATCACTGAAGGAAATATCACTACGGCATTTGGAGAGAATGAAGGACTCAAAGTTTATCCCATGGATCAAATATGGAATGAGATAGAAACATCAGAGTCTGTCAGTGGTTTAAGCTTGGAAGAGCACAAGGATGAAGCTTGCAACATGTCATGTCCTCCTCCATTATCTTCTCTTATGTGGGACTATAATTCTGAGTCTCTTTGGAAGATTGATGACCATGAAGAGTTCAGTATGATTCCACCCATGAGTGACCTCTTGGTTTCTAATTATCATCATGGCAAAGAGCAATCTTAGAGTAATCACTAGATGCTTTTAACCTTGTTCATAGAGGAAATGGTTGAAATGAGAGAGTATTAGAGTTGAGTTGCCTTACTTCTGTAATTTAATCAGTATGTTTATTAGCAGAAAGTGTCTGAGAGTGTGAGAGTTCATGTCTTTATAAATTTCATGTATTGCTCTTATTTGAGAGTAGTACTTCAGTGAGTAGTTAACTGCTATATTAGAGTTTCTTCTGATGATATTTCTTTACTGAGAAGGTTTTATGTAATCAAATAATATATATATATATATCTCTTTTTTTCTTCCTGTAATCATATCTTTGGAATGAACAAGATTTGTGTGTAAACCAATTAATAATAATGCTAGCCATAAATTTAATTTCCTATGATTATAAAGTACTTATAGTGCAATAAGAGACCGATTATTATATGTTGAACCAAATCAAGCAATTTAGTCAATATTTATGTCTTCTCATTGTGTATTATTCTTCATAAGAGACTAATTAATCATGGGACGATTATATCTCCATCCTTGGATGTGCATGCATGCACCTGTCTTTGGTCTTTCTTTTCACTACTCTAGACTAACTATCATTGCTTAAGCCTGTAGTGGATTCCTTTTTTTAACTTTATGTACACTTGCTTTATTTTTATAAGCTAGAGGACTGATGGCCTCACTTAATTAGTAAGAAAAAATGTCATTGGCATTAGATTTATCCAAGTGGTAGTGTGTACCCATCCAATTGGAATTTGGGGCCTTTTTTCTTTTTTCAGTGATTTTGTTTGTTAAGGGGGGACCCTATATTTTCTTTTTGGCTCCTAATATCCTTTCATTTCCTAATGGAGTTTGTGCTTTGCCAACAAATCCCACCAACCTCCATCTCTCTCTCTCTCTCTCTCTCTCTCTCTCTCTCTCTCTCTCTCTCTCTCACGCCCAAAACCACCCTAGCCCGCCTACCCATCCACCCACCTACATTCCTAAAGATAGTATGTATAACAAACTAAACTGTTTCGTGTGCACGTGTACATATTTTGTTCCCCTTCTCATTCAAAAGGGGTATTTGGCAGCAAATTAATTAATAAAAAAAATACTTTCTGCAATGCTTTTCTTTTTTCATGATACATGCTTGATTTCATTGTATCAAACACTTGGAGGTTACCGTATGCTAGCGTTTCCTAGTTGGTGTTAATACATAAGACAATATTACCCAGTTTGCATGCAACTTTTGGTTTGCTCTGGATGAATCTCAAAATTTCCAGACAAGGAACAATCTGATTAAAGATGCGTACTCAAGCATTGATTTCATGGTTTATAGGCGAAGATGTTCTGTTGGCTTGCTCAGCTAACATAAATTGATAATCTGGCTCATAAGCTAGCAACTGTAAGAAAAAGCACAAGTTATTAACTAGGGTAAATTACACCAAACCCCCAAGCACTATCAAGCGTTTGTGGTAAACCCCCAATAACTTTAAAATTTGCAGTAATCCCCCAATAACTTTTGCAGAAAACCCCAATATCTTTTGCATAAATTACACTAAACCCCGGCCCAATAACTTTCAAATGACTTTTCACGTCGTTTTTTGGTTCTAATTTATTAGGTTTATTTGCAAAATGCATGAACTTATTGGGGGGGTTTCTACAAAATGCAAAAGTTGTATGGCATTTAGTGCGATTCTGAAAGTTATTTGGGGTTTACTGCAACCGCTGAATCTTGGGAGTTTAGTGTAATTTACCCAATTAATTAACAAGTGCTGCCTAACATAATTAGCCAAAAAAAAAGTCAAACATATAACAATAATCAATTAAGGAAATGATCAAGAGAGGCTCAGTAGCTCTTTGTGTAACTAGAAAACAATAAAAAATGTGTGATCATAAAAGGTCTGACATATAACAACAAACAGATGCATGCATGTTGCAAAAAAAAAATGTAGACAAACTTGTACTAGTACCTCATTTCAATTTTGGGTTTAAAAAAAAGACACTGACATTACTAGTATCTCATTCTTCACTACAAAATAAACATTACTTGAATTCTTAAAGCTTTACATCCTTTGCAATAAACTCCCTTTGAATCAATCTATATATAGACTTTTCTGTTGATAATAGTAGTGGGTTTAGTTCCATATTGGTTGTGAGAACACACCTCACCCTACACTACTTGTATAAATATATATGCACACTCAATATTCAATTTAAGAGAAATTTACTCAAGACTCTCTCTTTCTTACTTTTAACATGGTATCAGAGTTAGGGTTATTATTTCCCTTCCAATAAATTTTTTTAACGCTTCTGCGTTCTTTTGCCAAATCTTGGCATTGGTGCTTAGTAGCCGTTTAACGCTTTTTTTTTTGCGTTCCTCTGCTAGATTTTTTGGCCTTGCCGCTTTGTGGCTTCTTAACGTATTTCGCGTTCTCGTTTAAATCTTCGCGTTTCATTCTAACATTCGGGTTCTATTTTAAACCTCCGGGTTCTATTTTAACAGCATCGTCGTTTTATGACCATCTCTTGGTTTCAAATTTAGGACATCGCCGTTTCAATCCCTCTCGACGTCTCAACATCGACGTTGATACGTTATGGGTCTTCCGCGTGAGCAACAGATTCGGCCGATCTTCGGGCCACCTTGTTCGCCGACTACTTCTTTTTCTCATATTTGACAATTATATATAACCTTCGGGTTCAAATTTAACCTTCGGGTTCTTACAGCTAAACCTTCAGGTTTTGTTCAAGGATTATTATTTTGAACTTCGGATTGCTGTTATTATGGCTTCTTTACTGGCACCTGCTTCTCAGGCTCGGTCTAAGCCCTTTTGCACATATTGCAAGAAGGAGGGACACCGCTTTGAGACATGTTTTTAGCTTCATCCTGAGTTACGTTCCTCAGGAACTGACCGTAGTCAGCGATCCCCTCGGTCCCGATCCTCTTGGCACCAGGATTACTGGTCAATGTTATGTCATCTACCACTTTAGACCCTACCATTCAAGCTATTGCAGATATTTGCCATCAAATTGAGGCTCTTCAAGGTATTGCAGATATTTACCGTTAAATTAAGGTTCTTCAAGCTATTGCATATATTAGCCGTCAAATTACGGCTCTTCAGCATACCACCTCTCCATCTGCTACACAACTCTCTGATATTCATCGTCAAATTGATGTTCTTCAGCATAAAGCTTCTACATCTACTGTACAACTCTCTGGTATGCGTCTTGCTGGGTCTTCAGCTAACCCTTCGGTCTCTGGTATGAATGATCTCTGGATTTTTGACTCTGGTTGTTTCTTTCATATGACTCGTAATGTCTCCCTCTTATCTTCTATCTTCACTTCCTCTTCTCTTCCTCCTATCTACACGGCTGCTGGACAACCTTTGTCTATCACTCAGTATGGCTCGATCACCCTGCAAACTGACACATCTGGTCGTTTAACTCTTAGCCCTATCTATGTGGCTCCTCAGTTATGTTAGAATTTAATTTCTATTAGCTCCTTATGTATGGATGGCCTACTTGTCTTATTTTCTTCTGATACTTGTGTTGTACATGATCCACAGACGAGTAAGACTGTTAGGGCCAAACTGTATTTTCTGGAATATTTTTACCTTCCAGAGTCCATACGCTCAGATTCTCTTGTTGCTTCTATAAGTCCAAAGTCCTCTACCTTACTTTCCACAGATTTGTGGCATAGACGACTTGGTCATGTGTCTCATAAAAGGCTGGAGAGTCTTATCCAGTCCGGAGTACTTGGTCCCGTATCCTCTCGTTCTCATATTGAGTCATGTACTGGTTGTAAATTGGCTAAATTCACTGCTCTACCATTTCCAACTAGTACATCTGTTTCCACTTCTTTATTTGATTTGGTCCATTCCGATATCTGGGGGTCAGCTTCTCTGCTTTCTTCATCTGGCTACTTATATTATGTTAGTTTTATTGATGATTTCTCTCGTTATACATGGGTCTACCTACTTAAAAATCACTCTGACGTATTTGCTGTTTATCAAGCCTTCACTGTTATGATCTTCACTCAATGGCAAGCTCGTATTAAAGTTTTTTGTTCTAACTGTACCAAAGAGTATCTATCATCTTCCATGCGCTCTACCATAATATCTCGTGGAACTATCTTTCAACAGTCATGTCCTTACACTCATGAGCAAAATGGTATTGCTAAACAAAAACATTGTCATATCCTTGATACCGCTCGATTCATGCTCATTTCTTCCTTTGTTCATCGTCGTTTCTGGGCTGAGGCCATTCTCACAGCTGCTCATGTCATTAATATCACTCTATCTAGCTCTCTTTCTAGCGCTACTCCTCATAGCCATGTCTATACTCATCCTCCTCGTTATGATCTGACTCGTGTTTTTGGATGTCGCTGTTTTGTTCTTCTGCCCTCTCACGAACGTGATAAATTGTCTCCCAGAGCTGTTCTCTGTGTCTATTTAGGAATTAGTTCGCAACATTGCGGTTATCGTTGTTACTATCCCGCGTCTCGTCGAGTTCATATATCTCGACATGTTCAGTTCAAAGAGGATTCTCCATGTTATTCTGCTTCCAATAACTTTAATTTCCTCCACACTACTGATCGTGCTTCTCTGTCAGCTGCATCACCCATTTCATTACCTCAGTTCTCCTTTCGAGATCTCCCTGAAATCTCTTCATCTCCTTCTGTTGACTCTCCCTCACCTGAGCCTTCGCTTCAACCATCTGATTCCTATCTCGTGGTCACGACACCCACTCCAGAAAATACTATTGACCTCCACACACCTGCACCAGCATCTCCCCCGCCTGAGGTTCCTCTTGCTCTTCATCGAGGAAAACACTCACATATCATGCCTGCACGGTATGCTTCAGTTACTTCCTATTCACCTATCTTTCATACCTTTCTTACCGCCATTCATACTACAGTTGAGCCAAAGTCCTTTCAAGAGGCTGTTCAATTTTTAGAGTGGTAACAGGCTATGGCTGAGGAATTTCAAGCCTTTCAGCAAACACATACCTGAGATGTTGTTCCATGTCCCCCTAGCATCTCTCTAGTTGGCAGTAAATGAGTTTATAAGATCAAGTTTCGTCCTGATGGTACCATTGAACGTCGAAAAGCTCATTTAGTGGCTCAAGGTTTTACTCAGCAATAAGGTATTGACTATGAGGAGACCTTTGCTCCTATTGTTCAGATGTCCACCGTTCGTACTCTCCTTGTGGTTGCTGCTGCTCATTGTTGGCCCTTATACTAGATGGATGTCAAAAATACTTTTCTCCATGGCTTTTTATCTAAGATAG